GGAAGGCGGGGCTAGGGGGGAAAAGATTTTTCTAGGCCCGCCACGAGGGCGTGGGAACAACAAGAGGATGAGACGGGCACCTCCCTGAGGAATTCACACTGTTGTGGCTGGGTGGCTTGGGGCTTGGGGGTTTAGTCTGGGGAGATTCTTGCTAGAGGTTGTAGCTAATAAACATAGCTGAACTGATTTTGCATTGTCTCTTGGAGTTCCTTGGGCTAGGCCTGACAACCTAGTACTAAAGGGCTTCAGCTGTTCAGTTTAGGGGTGTGCACAAAACCAAGCAAAAGCATGGACCAAAAACACTCTGGCTCAGAAGTTCAGTTAGACATTTTGAATGGGTCATGAATCAGCCAAAATGAATCCCAGATAATTTAGGTTGATCCAGGATTTAATTGAGACAAATTAGAGAAGTTTTAAAGGGCAGGTAGGGCAAGGCTGTTGCTTTTGCCTGTCTCTCTCCTCCACCTGTACATGACTTCTGTGTGCATCCACACACTCGTCTTCCCAGCACCTTCTCCACCTTCACTTAGCTTCTGCAACACTTGAATTCAAGTATGGCATACCAACCTAGCCCACCCAAGCTTCCCAAGCTTCCTTCCCTATTGCTGCCTAGTATCCATTTGACGCATGGGTCTGTCCTATTTTTCGGCTGCTGCCATACACTTTCCTTCCATGTTACTACCCTGCACCCACCACCCATCTGACCATGCACACTGTCTCTCCACCACTACTGCAGGGTTTCCTTTTCCCTGCTGTCTCCCATCCTAGACTACTTCTGTTAAAATGCATAAGTTCCAGGTCCCTGTACAGACGAAATAAAAAGTGTTCTAGGCCTGCACATGGATGAAGCATAGGTACTTTGGTCCTGAAACAGGCTAATCAATATTGCCTGATCTGTACACAGAATGTTTTGCACATCCCTATTTCAGTTTAATGAAAGGTGATTTAATATGTTAATTGTACAGTCAGAGTAGAGTTCAGTCTGCATATTATATTTTTAAATAATATATGTAATTTGTATTGAAGATCACCAGGAATATTTTTCCCATTATAACAGATTCCTGTAGCGCCCACTGTGCCGACTGTTAGTTTAGTTCCACCAGCATTTCCTGTTACAATGTCTGTCCCTCCACCTGGTTATGGTGCAATTCCTCCACCTCCATTCTTGAGAGCAAGCTTTAATCCTTCGCAACCACCTCCTGGTAAAGTTATATTTCCATTTTATAATATGCACTTTATATGAGATGGGTGGCTACATGAATATGATAAAAAAAAAGTAAATAAATATGCATCAAAGTGTATTGACATTGTTATTTATTTATTATAAGTTTAAGTTTGCTAAGAATTTTGTATAGTTCCCCAGAAAAGCTTTGGTCCTCTCTCTGCCAAAGCAGGGCCCAAAGTTGTGTTTATTTCATCTGTTGGTAATGCTTCAATATGGTACACAAGGAGTCAGATTCAGTGGCTTAAAGGGTCCCTTTCAACTTTATGAATCTATGACTCTACTTATTTTTAAAATATTAATTTAATCCATAATCATCTATTTGCACAGTGAAGTGGCAGTAAACCTCATTTAATTCAGTGGGCCTTATTTCCATAAATAGCTGTATGGGTGTATTTAATTATAGCACTTTCTTGAATTGGATAATGTATGCTTGAACATATTTATAATTCAGTTAAGAATTTAGCTCTTGCTGTTACTTTTCAAAAAGTTTAATCAGTTTGTTTATTAATATTTATTTTTTGTTTCTTCTAGGTTTCATGCCTCCACCTGTTCCACCACCTGTTCCACCACCAGTAGTCCCAACATGTAAGCTGTTTTTATCTTTTCTTCATAGGTTTCCAATACAACTGTCATAGTTCAGAAAAAATGGTTTGGTTGAATCGGCTAACATTGGATTTATTTTTATAAATAACATCATAAAGCTTAGGACTGAATTCCTGCTATTGATTACTCTTCTTTAAGTTGCCAAGTTCATTTCTATTAGGTAGGGTGGCACTTATATGTCACTATCAAGAACTATATAAACAGTCCAGTTCTGTGTGAGAGCTTTTCCTAGCAAGACCCCCAGTTAGGGTTAGGGTTAGAGTGGAGAACATAGGACTGTTTCAGACATTATGATTTTTGCATGTAGATAGTATTTCTTTGTAGTATATGTCACGTAAATAGTTGTTTTATGCAAATAACAAATACATATATTGCTAGGGGATGCATTCTGACACAAAAGTTTTAATGGCTTCTGTGCAATGAAGTAAAACGATGTACTGTTTTCATTTATGATTTTTTTACACATATTTTATAAGGAATTTCTTGTATTAAAAAGTGCTTCCTTTCTTGGAAATATGTACCATTTAGAGTCACCTGTCCTAAAAAAATGCACCCCAGACCCAAGTATTCTAATGAGAGGCATTTTTTTCACAATTAGCAGGTCTTCTACTGACCTTTAAAACTGAATATTTATATGGGGGAGGTGAAATTTATTTATTTATTATTTAACCAACTTCTGTAGCCACATACTCAGTGAGCAATTCAGCATGGTGTACACAATTGAAAACAAATAATAACCACAAAGGACATTAAAATACAACCAGCGCAAAATAATCAGAAACAATTAAATTAAGGTGGACACAAAACCTCCTATCCAGTGCCTAGGAGAAGAAAGGTTTTCAGAATCTTTCAAAAGACAGGCAGGGTTAGATCCATCTGAATCCTGAGGGAAATGCTGTTCCATAGGGCAAGCCCTGCCACAGATAAGATGTCTCTCATGGGTCCTGCCAGATGACATTGTGTAAGTGATGGGACCTGGGGCACGCCTGCCCTGTCAAATATTGCCGGACAGGCAGAGGTGGCCAGAGACAGACAGTCCTGCAAATAACCAAATCCTTGTGCCATGAATGGCTTTGTAGGTAAACCACCCCACCTTGAATTGCACCCAGAAATCCACTGGTAACCACATAGATTTAGGCATTTGGGGCTGATTTTAAAGTTATGCTGCTCATCTCCTAGTGCCACCAAAACCTGTTGTAAAGTATATTCTCCAAGTATATGGAGAAGAATGGGAGGGGGAGGGAGCTGTTTAAGGATGAATCAGACCTGTTGATCTGTTAATGAAATTACACGATTGAATATAACCTAATGAATTTATATAATTCATATTGGGTGTGGAGGGATTCAGTGCATCAACAGGAATGCCAGTAGGCCTGGCCCAAACCAGCATAGTTTGCATTTTCAAATGCACAAGAGAAAAGGTGCAGTCAACAATACACAAGACTATGGAACATACATAGAACAAAGCTCAACAATTCATCTCAAGCTAACATGGACTCCTTATGTTTTTAAGTTCACCCTGAAGTTCAACATCAGTAGGATTCAACACATGCACTGACCAAAGCTCAACAAAACAATATTGTAATAGTAATCTTTGCACTTGTATAACCTCAATTTAGCAATGCTTGTGCTTGAAGCACAGTAGTGCCTCCTACAGACAGGTTTTGGCATTTTTGCCTATAAAATGAAATAAAATACAGTCCCACCCACATATTCCATGAACTCTTAACTTCATACTAAGAACTTTCTTAAAACAACAGTTAACATCAAGCAGGATGACAGGCACATAACTGAGCCATCTTCTATCTGGTGAGCCAAGAGGCTCATGCTGTTTGAAAGCTGCACTATTTGTATTGCTGCTCTAAATTGTGGTTCTCTAATATAAGTAATAGAATTTAATTATTGTTATCTATGAGTGTTGATTAGAATTTTTTAAAATTGCAATTCAAATATATAATTTTAATGGGTTTTCTGATAGCTTCGCTTGCTCTGGATGTTTTAAAGATAATGTTTTATCTGTTTTTAACTTTTACTTGTGGTTACTTGTTTACACTTAAAGCAGAAAGATGCTTCAGGTTTTGATAAACATGCTGGTGATTACTGTTAGATAGACATACATAGATTTGCACTATTAAACATTTTTGATTAAGCATTAATATGTATGTGTACTGTTTTACAGCTCTTGTACAGCCTTCACTACCTATTGCTCAGGAGTCAGTGAAAGATTTTAGCAGCCTTGTTCTACCAGTTGGTACTGTTTCTAGTAATCTTACCACACCAACATTATCTGCCGGAAATGTCTTTCCTCCTCTTTCAAATAACAATTCAGAATTAGATGAAAAAGGATCTCTTCATGCTGATCTTCAGATCTCATCTAGTGAACACAGAACTGGTAAGTAGTATTATAAAACTTTAGGGGTGCGTGTGTGTGTGTGTGTGTGTACACACATGTACATGCATACATAATATATATGAATGTCATAGCTTTCAAGAATTCCAGTCCTGTACTAGATGCAACTTTTGGGAGAATATTGAACTTGTCTGTTGTTCCTAGGACATAAATAAAGACATGCATGCATACATACAGTACATTTGTACTAGAAGGATAGAAAATAGGATCAGCATGACTGAAGTTTTTTTACTAGCCCAGTTGCAATATAATTACTATTTTTTTTCAACAGTGGACTGTTTTTATAAGGCCTGTTATTCACTTGTCACTATGTTGCCGCAGTCCTTTTTTGTTCATTTAATCTGAATTGTACTAATATTCATATCATATAAATAATTAAAAACCTTTTAACATAATTTTTATAGTTTCTATCCACTCAAATAGACGGTAAGGCAGGGAAATTATATGCTAAATCCTAGTAGTTCTGTTTTGTTTTTATTTCTCTATAACTAAAATATTTTAAAAGCTTATGATTTTTCTAAACATATTTTATTTCATAAACTATTCTTCATTGTGAGAGACTGTATTTACTTCTTCTTAAATAGATATTATTGCAGATTATAATTAGAAACCAACCTGTAGACGTTGAATTTAGTTTAATCTGACTCTTGTTAAGCTATTAAAAAGAAAAATATTACTTAGGCATGGTTGTTTCAGTTTGCTAATTTAAGTTTTTCTATTTCAGTTCAAGATGACGTTTCAAGCAGTTCTGGACTTACCGAGGGAGTACAGCCACCTGGTGTCTCAACCAGTTCTGGGCTTGTAGGGGGAATTCAGCCACCCCATGTCTCAAGTAGTACTGGGCTTGTACAGCCAGTCAGTGTCTCAAGCAGCTCTGGACTTCTGACAAGAGTTCAACCACCTACTGCTTCAAATAGCTCTGGTCTTATAACAGGTGTTCAGGCTCCAAGTGTCTCAAGTAGCTCTGGGCTTTTGACAGGACTACAGCCCATAAATGTTTCAAGCAGCTCCAGCATTTTAATGGGAATCCAGCCACCCATAGTGTCAAATAATACTGGACTTTTGTCAGGAATCCAGCCACCCATTGTATCAAGCAATTCTGGAATTTTAGGATTGCCACCACCAATAGTTTCAAGTAGTTCTGGACTATTAGGATTGCCACCACCAAATATTTCAGGTGGTTCTGGACTATTAGGACTACAACCACCCACTGGAATTCAAAATTTACCCCATTTAACTATTGCTAGTCAACGGTTGCCTGGAATTCCTCTAGTAGAAATCCGATCAGGATTAATACCGCAGCCACCTGGTCCTAGGTTTCCACTGCTGCAACCTGGGATGCCACCACAACGTACAGTTCCTCCTCCAACTATCCTTGATCCATCCCTTCCTCCACCTAGAGTTCCTTTCCTTCCAGGAGATCTTTTTACTCAAACAGACAGGCCATTTGCAACTTCTGGTAGGCAAAATATGGATATATCTAACCCAGATAAAAGATTGCCTATTGGAGATGATAGCATTCAACAAGAAGGAGATAGAGACTATCGCTTTCCTCCAGTAGAAAATAGAGATCGAGCATCTTCAATGGATATAAGGGATTCTGTTGGAAGGCCACCACTAGATCCAAGAGAGGGTCTAGGTCGACCTCCTGTAGATGGAAGAGAACATCTTGTCAGGCCACATATAGATTTACGGGAGAACTTTGGAAGGCCAGGTATTGATAATCTCAGTAGGAGAGAGCATTTTGCTTTCAACTCAGAAAAGCACTGGGGTCAAAGAGGAGATTATGATGAAAGAGAACACCAGGCCTTTCCTGTATATGGTGGTCTCAAAGGGTTCCAGGAAGCTCGAGAGAGATATCGGCAAACAAACTACAGATTTGAAACTCGAAGTGGTCCCACCTGGAACAGAGGACTTGAACAAGATGCTCACAGAGACTTTGATGACCGTCGTAGACCATGGGAAAGACAAAGGGACAGGGATGATAGAGATTTTAATTTTGGTAGAGAAATTAATGGAAACCGATTTGGGAGAGAGAGAACACAGAACAACTGGATACCCCCTCCACATCCAAGAGCATTTGAATATTTTGAAGGTGGTGCTTCTCAACAAAAAGCTGATAGTGTACCCCAAGTTAATGGTGAAAACACAGAGACAGAGAATCAGCCATCTGCTGTGCAAGTACAGGATGAATTGGAACTTTATGAAAAGTTGGCGACTTCAAATGACACAAAAAAAGAGAAGAGTGACACAGAAGCTGAATTAGAAACTGAACCAGTGGTAGAAAGCACAGAAACTGAGGGGACATAATCATCACTCAGTAGGTAAAAAGATACCTTTTGTAAAGTTGTCATCTCTCTCTGTAATAGATGAATGGCTGACTGGACCTTAGTAGTTCATTTTTTTTTCTTCCAGGATTAAGTTAATCTAATATTCATGTTCATCTTTCACTTAAATAGTTGTACAACTGACCTGTATAGAATATTGTTCTTAATTTGAACATGGTAGGTAAAGTTTTTCTTTCTTTTCCTTTTTTTTTCCTGGCAAAATGCAAACTTGCCCCACTTGCTTTTACTTCAGAAGGATAAATAACAGCTTGTCAAACAAAGAAAAAGACTTCCTATGGAAGAACTTGATTTTTTTTAGATACTATTAGGTTGGCCATAGAAATTGTTATACTTGAAAACAGGCGCTGGTATATCTTGTCCAGATTTCTAGGCTGCTGCAAAATTTTAAAGCATAGGCAGAACTGTGATACTATATGTTCCCTCAGTTTGGCACAAGCAAACAGAAAAGGAGCATAAATAATACAGAGATGATGTGTTTTTGAAATTTATGCATTATAGTCTCTGTTTCTCAAGTGTCCGTGATTTGTCCTCCTCATACTGCAATGGGTTAAAAAATAACATACGTTTTAATGTTTTTTTAGATGCCAATAAAGCATTATTTGTTTGATAAGCATTCTAGGTATTGTATTTTTTATATACAATCTATAACATTCTGGATGAATTGTGCTTTAGCTAATTGTTGCATAAGGTTTATAATGCTCTTGTAAAACTAGTGCAACAATTATAGATGCTACAAAAGCATATGCCTTTCTACTAAAAATAAACCATGAATCACATTAGTTTGTGTATAACGTATGTATGTAAATATTTGTGTAAAACTGTATGTAGATACCACTGTTTCTGTGTGTGATAGTGCATGCGCACGCACTCACAGAATAATGTAGACAGTTAAATAAAATGAAATGAATTAGGTTATGCAATTTCATATTTAACCTTCTTTAGGTAGAAAGAAAATTGTAGACGCTGATGTGACAGGTTAATCAAATTAATATTTGCTCTTCTAAGTTCTTATTACTTCAGAAGGTGGAATCTGGCATGCTCTGAAGGCTGAAGAGTAAGATTTAAGGATGCTTTTTAAGTGTGGCAATATATGGTGCAAAAAATGAAGCAAATGTTTGAATTGTCATTTTTGTAATGCTTCTGGTGTTTTGGGTAGAAAGTGATACTATAAAAATACTTTGTGATGATTTGCTTGCCGTGAATATTCAGTTCATAGTTGTTGCCTAAAACATTGAGCCACTTTAAGAACAAAACACTCTTATTTATCTCAAATCACTGACCACTTACAGGTTTAGGCTTGAAGATTCTTTAGGCTGCAATCGTATATGCATATATCTTGGATTAAGTTTCATTGACACCAATGGGACTTACTTCTGAGTAGACATTCATAGGATTGTTTTGATACTGAAAGGAATTGGTTGCACAAATAATGAACACTACATTGTTCGTTTGATTTAACTGCTTCTCTTAAATTTATCTGGATATTAATATTGTTGCCAAGACCCCTAAATATTGAATATTGGCATCTAGAAATTTGGAGTTTTTTTTAACTCTGTGCTGGCTAGCTTCTGTAATTTGAAATGGCCTCATAAAAATATTTCTGCCCAAACTAAAAATATGTTTTTAGGATCTACTCTTTAACAAGTTCATAGAATGTAACCATTTATCCTTTATTTTTTTTTTAAAAAGCCTTCAAATTCTAAAGAATAATAATAGTTGCAGAATTTATATTGTGATAAACTAATATTTTATGTAGAAAATGGCATTAATTCAAGAAAATTTGAATTTTTACATTTCAATAATGTGAATTAGTCATGTTCCACAAAATTATGCTTTTAAAATAATATGAAAATATGAAAGTTACAGAAATTTCATTAACATTATGAAGCCAATACCCTTTCATTGCAATAAAGTTTGAAAATTACAAATTTACAATTTAGAAATTTACAATTGCACTACCACTTTTGATTTTGGTCATCTTAAGTCTTAAATAACTAATGCATTATTGTTGTATTATATAAAGAATATTAATTTGACTGTATTAGCAGTCTGGCTGTCAGGATGGACTCAGTTTCACTGAATTATTGTTGCTAAACTATAACAACATTAAGAATCAGGATGCTGTTGTTTAAAAATCAGTACAATCTACCTACAGTGCCCCAGGTTTGTTTGTGCTCACTGGAAATAATGCAACTGATTGAATATCATTGCATTTCCTACTTTGCGACAGAGACTGTCAATATAGATCTAATAAGATGTCTGGATTTGATTGCATTCTTGATTTTTACAAATGGCCAAATAGTATTGGGTGTGTTATGCAGTTTAAGTTTAAATCTTGGAATAGCACTGGCTACATATCACTATCATATAAAAAGATATCTTGGAATTGTGTAAAAGCTGTATCTTTTACAATTTTAAATAGCACAAAAGTATATTTTATGGTATCTTTGGACATAGCATCTTATAAAATAAGACAGGCTTGAGGTGAGCAAGTCTAACTCAGATCTGCTAATCTGAGGAAGAAGCAGGATGAGACAAGAATATTTCTTGGATAGAAGGGATCTCCTGACAAGGTAGTTCTGTTGGCAGAAAGTTACTACTCGTGGTATTCCAAGTTATTGTAATAAGCGTAAGAAGCCTTACATTTGTCAGTGCCAGTTTGAGAACACTGAATTTGTAGCTGTTCCATTTTATTACATGAGAGTCAGGTGGGGCCATATTTTTAATTTAGTGGCTGAGAAATGGTAATTCCCCTCCGCTCATCAACATATTGAGAACACAGGATCAGCTGTGAGTCTTTTGCTTGATGTGACTTGTTTTCCTTATGAGGCTAAAGCTGATAGCTTAAATGAATGGAATTAATAGCCTAATCACTAATTATTTTAATAGCAAACTAAAATTTGCTCAAGAAATTATTTGAGGATATACTGCTGTACTTTTCTTCCCTACATTTTTCTCCTCTTGTTCCCACATGTAATAAATATTTTGCATTATAGAGAAAAACTGTCCTTTTTCAGCAAGGAAAGGAACATACCACAGCTAATTGTTATAAAAGTAATTTAAATTTTTATCTTTCAGTGGTGGCATATTGGTTTAATGTGTAATTTTCAAAGGAGTTTTGGTAAATTTACTACAAAAAATAAAGCAGAATCTCAAATAAATGATGTAACCAAAATATATAATTAATAACTTAAATCATTATAGTCTAATTCAATAGCTTGACAGCCCTAAAAGCTTCATTAAACACCATGTTAATTTAATCTCTTCCAAAGAAAATTAAATCATAATTAGGAATTTATACTATAAGTGATACCATACAGAATATGCATAGCATCATTGGGAAGCTAATTTGACATTCCCAGAAAGTAAACTCTGTTACTGTTTAAAAAGAGACAATAAACACATTTTAGTGCAAGTAATCCATATATCTGATTCCCAAAATTCTGTTTCCAGTGGTACTCATGAAATTATAATTCATCAGGAGCGATTTCCCATAGATTCTGTAATTCATGCACAATATTAAATGCCAATGGTAATTGCTTTGCTTTAATTTAAAAACATGTATATTTTCAAAATGCATTTTTTTACTCTAAGACCTTTCAAAAATCACAAGCAAGTGTGACCACAACTGATATTAAAATTATAAAAGTGGTTTTAAGACAGACTGGTTACTGAATACATAAGTCTGCAGCACTTCTTTCTTGATGATTTTTTGTTGGTTTTCTAGTATGAAAAAATGGGTATTTTGCTTATAGCCTAGTCCAGTGCATGTTTGCTCAAAACCTACTCCATTGAGCTGAGTTGAATTTGCATAGGATTGCAGCCTTCAAATGCCATGTACATTGAGCCGTGAAGTTTTTCTTGTTTGGTTTTTAATTAATCTTGCTTATGAAATGCACCTGATATGTTTTTGCAAATACTTAAAATTGATTACCTATAAAAATGAATATGAGTGGAAATTGTACATTTAAAGTGTTGTGCTATATGTACATAGTTTCTTACATGAGAAAGAACTATGAGCTGGATAGCTCCTAACATTCCATCCCTAATTTCTGAAAGAACATTTTTTTGAAAACTATTTTGCTTCTTCCCTTACACAGTTTTTTAGATGTGATTCCTTCCTTTGGTATTTCAGTAACTGTCTCCTTTCTATAAAATCTAAGAATTTGCAGAAACAAAGTTTATTTCAAAATACTTAACAGATTTAATACCAAAAAGGATTGATAATCACCTGAGTATCTTTCATTTAACACTGTGTAATCTATTGCTCTGACATTTGTTCTTAGTTAACAATTCCAATAGGATAATTGCCATCCAATTTTACAGTGCTAGTGGAAAAAACTGAAAAATCAGAATAGTGCAATATGAATTTTGTCATGTTAGCACTACAGTTTATGTGAAATAGAATCTATTTTGAAATACCTTTTTTTCTTGTGACAATACAAGTCTCTAATCCACAAAGTATGGGCCTGGAATCTTCCTTTAGTATGCCTGGATAAACAGCTCATAGTTCCAGAACAAAAATTACAAGGATCTCCATACATATAATGATACTTTTGCTATCTCCAGTAATAACAAAGAAATTTTTAGTATGGCTATAGGGGCAAATATATGGCACAAGACTGACTGTAGGAGCATGGGTGCAATATGCTCTGGCATTGTAGCCTATTTGGTAATGCAGACTAGACATCTGGACTTCCTAGTCCATGATAGCTTAATGTGAATTTAAAGTTCTAAACACATGGAAGACACCAAGTTGCTTGTCCCTGTACTAATTGAACTTGCTGAAGCATCTTGTGATCAGACAGTACCTTTATCCTGCAAGTAAAAAATCCTTTATTTATTTATTATTTCAGTTTATATTTTTGCTCATCTCAAGTACTTGACTCTGGGTGGTTCACAGCAATTAAAACTATATAAAAACAAAAACCAATACAAGAATCATATATAAAAACGATATAGAAAACCATGCAACAACACAGTCAGTAGCCGAGGTATAACAAGACCCATCAATAACAGTCAGCATAACTACTGCACAGGCTCTGCTGCACACCCAGATCCCCAAACCCAATGGCAAAACCATGTCTGTAAGGCCTTATGGAAAGCCAGTAGGCTTTTCATTCAGTGGTCAATCATTCAGTAGCCAATCTGATCTCTGAGGGAATGATGTTCCAAAGGGTGGGCGCCATAACAGAAAAGGAAACTGGGCCCCACCAGATGGCATTCCCCGACAAATGGGATCTGAAGCATGCCTGTCCTGCCAGACCTGATGGGACGGATAGATGTAATAGAGGAGAGGCAGTCCCTCAAATAACCCAGTCCCATGCCATGGAAATAGAAAGGAAGAACACTGGCAAACAGCATCTAAATCTAATTTTGAAACTGAAACTGTATTACTGCCTATGCTAGATTATCAAATAAATGCTTAAAGTCCATAGAGAGAAGGAAACATTAGATTGCTCAGTTATAATGTAATATGTATTAAGAAATACACATTCATGCAAGAGAAGAATATGTTTTTCTCTATGATGTTAAAAGTCTTTTTATTATTGAATAAACCATAGTATTCTTTTAAATGGTTTGAAATAATAAGATATTTTTATTATTAGGCTAACAAATGGAATTGTTTGGATTCCTTATTAAGGCTTATGAGTCTTACTCTAACAGTAAACCTTGGACAGGTGCCTGCACAATTGCCATCAATAAGGTTTCCTGGAAATAAATATTTTAATTTTTTTTCTAACTTAAGGTATAATTTTGCCTGTTCACAATAATATTATTACTGACAACATTTTATTCCCCTGATAAAGGAATAGGGCTTTCTGATGTTCTTCTGAAAAGGAGAGCTGTTACAGCGTAATGAACAGAGCCTGGAGTGCAGCTTATATATTGTAATGCTATCAACAATACTATTAATGTAAAAGTATTCAGTATTGCATCTAAAATTATACTAAAGAAATTCATTTAGGTTGCATTCCTGTATCACTTATTTTGGAGGGAGTCTTGTTAAATTCAAGGGGACTTCTGGGTAAACATATAGGATTATTCTGTCATTGCTACTTTCAGGATCTTAGATGAGCCAAGAACTTTAAAACCTATCTGTTCACTGATGTTGGAGTTCTGACACATGTACACGTTACATTTTAGGTGGGCTACTCATTCTTTATTACATATGCACTATTGCTAGATGTACATAAAGTAATGCATATTTAAAACTACATGAGTAAAATGATTTGACATTTTCCTTAGTCAAATGGACATTTCTTTCAGTATTGTAGCATTTCTTCTATTAGCTGCTGCTTCTGATCTAGCGAACTGATGGAAATTCATGCTCTCACATGCACATTGGAAACATTAAGTATATCTTTGTTGTATTTTAGTTCATCTTGTCTAAAATACATATCATTCCTCTTAAATGAATAATTTTCAAATATTGGTATATAATTTGATATATAGCTTTCAGCAAGAGACACCTAAGAGTCAAATACAGAGAAGGAGAACACATCCGTTTATTCTACATAAGATGTGAGTAACCCAGTTGGAATAATATTGCTGGGATTGAGTCTGTCCCAAAATTTAAGAGCAAAATATTCCCAACAAAGTTTACTTAAGAAAATTCAGGGCTGTGTTCTGTGAGAAAACTCACAAAATCAGGGAACGATTAATCTAATAAAACATATCCATAGAAAGGTGGGCAAAGACTCTGAAAAAGGGGTGGTGACTAGGGAAGATTAAATGGCAACAAGGAATTTCCCA